GATTGAGGATACCTCAACTTCACTTCCAGTTTGTGATTCCTTCCCGGATGAACAACTGTTTGAGGTTTCTCATAAGGATTTGCCTTGGTTTACTACTATTGTGAATTACCTCGCAATAGGCAAAATTCATTTATCATGGTCAAAGTAGGAAAAAGATCAATACTTCTCCCAAATTAGGATGTACTATTGGGAAGATCCTCAGCTATTCAAATACTGTGCTGATCAAATCATTCATAGATGTGTTCCTGAGAGTGAGTTTCTTAGTATTTTAACCTTCTGTCACAGTCTGACATATGGAAGTCATTTCAGTGCAAAGAAAACTGCAGCTAAAATTCTTCAGTGCGGTTTCTTTTGGCTTCACTCTTTCGGGATGCATATTTATTCTGTAGGTCATGCCTTAAATGTCAGCAGCTAGGATCAATTTCCAGAAGGAACATGATGCCCTTAACTCTAATCTTAATTATTGAAGTTTTGATGTTCGGGGTATTGATTTCATGGGTCATTTTATTCTGTCCAATAAAAATGAGTACATTCTTGTGCCTGTTGACTATGTGTCTAAATGGGTTGAAGCAGTAGCTACTAAAACCACTGATCACTCAGTCGTGGTTGAGTTCATTCAAACGAACATTTTTAGTCGGTTTGGTATGCCACGAGCTATTATTAGTGATGGGGGTGCTCACTTCTGTAATACGTACTTCCGTACCTTGGTCCAAAGATACTCCGTCACCCATAAAGTTGCTTCTGCCTATCATCCCCAAACAAGTGGCAAAATAGAAATATCCAATCGGGAAATTAAGAGAATTCTTGAGAAAACGGTTAAGCCAGATCGTAAAGATTGCTTTTATAGACTAAACGATACTTTGTGGGCTTACCGTACTGCTTATAAGACTCCGATTAATATGTCACCTTACCATATTGTCTATGGTAAAGGGTGCCATCTTCCTGTAGAGTTAGAACATAGAGCTTTTTGGGCCATTAAAAAGCTCAATTTTGATATGACATCTACTGGTTTTAACTAGAAGCTTCAATTAACTAAGCTTGAAGAATTATGTAATGATGCTTATGAGAGTGCTAAAGTTTACAAAGCAAAGACTAAGGCATTTCATGACAAGCATATCTTGCGTAAGACTTTTGAGCCTGGGAAGAAGGTTTGGTTGTTTAATACACGACTGAAACTTTTTTCTAGAAAGTTAAAGTCACGTTGGAAAGGTCCATAAATGGTTATTTCTGTTACACCTTATGGTACAATAGAGATACAAGATTGCAGGACAATTGTCCAAGGTCAATGGACATAGACTTAAACCCTACATAGAGGGTACTGTGCAAAGAGGCACAGTTGAGGCAGTGGAACTTCATAGTCCTATATACTTGGACTAGCGAGGTCAGGTTTTCGTCCAGCTATCAACGTTAAACTTAGCATGTTGTCAAGCTATCGATGTTAAACTTAGCATTTGTATGTTGTACCGTAGTTTATTTTTATTTTTATTTCGTTATTTTAAGTTTTTGATGTAGTTCTTTTCTTTTCGAGATTTTAGGTTCATTTTTATCATTCATTTAGGTTTAGGTTAGTTTAAGTTTGAATAAAATAAAAATTGAAAAAATCCACAAATCCAAAAAATTGTCATAATGCTCGAGCATCATTAGCTCCATGCTTGCGCATCAGCAGCAAAAAGCTCAAGCATCAGTACCAAAAGCTCGAGCTTTCCATCATCATAAAATTAGAAATTGATGGCAGCAGGCTCGAGCTTATACCCTTGATGCTCGAGCCTGAGGTCTTAAAAGTTTAAAATCAGGAAACTGAGTAATCCTTCGCCTAGCACACAAAGGAACGTTTTGTTCTTTATATAAGCTCTCTAAGTATTCTTTCTATTCATAATCAGTGCGAATACACATTCTTGTTCCAGATCTGTAGGAAATAGAGGTAATCTTCTCTTTCTTCTCCTCTTTCAAATAGAATTTCCTAAGTTTATTAATTATTTAGATCTAATGAGGGAGAGTATGAGTTATTTTTTGAATATATGAGTCTATGAATTTTGTTCATGCATCATCTACATAGACTAGCTGTTTAGATCCACTCTTCCTTGATTTATTGAACTAAGTTCAATGATCTGATTCAGTGAAGTAAAGGTAGAGCTTGAGCATTAACAGTTGAGGCTCGAGCATTACTAAAGGCTCGAGCATCGATACTTAAAGCTCGAGCTTCGGGTTGCAGATTGCAGCAACTGGAGATTTTTAAGAAATTTGGAAGGTTATCTTGAAGATGGTTCATCCTAATTTTGCTAAACGCGCTAGAGAGATAAAAGATATGTTGCCAAGTGCGTGGCAGACAGTTCTAATTTCTTATGAAACGACCTTTGATTATCAGGCATTCATCAATGATCTGTGCACTAGATGGGCTATGAAATCTTTCAATTACAGGCATCTTCTTCATCTTATAGTCCTTATTACTCAGGTTGCTTATCCTTATCTTGTTCGTTTGTTTTACCTCAATCTGGTTTATAGTGAGGATGACCCTTAGGAACTTAGGACTAGAATTGATGGGCATGATTTGAATATTAATCCTGATGCTATTGCCGCAGCTCTAGAATATTATAATATGTTTCTTGACGTTGTAGATGAGAAACATAGCTGTTATGTTTTTACACATTCCCTAGGGTACCAATTGCTGAGAATTTAATTCAGAAGCTATGTGATGGTCGATTTGCCAGGAAAAAGCGGAGTAGTACTACAAAAGCCAAAATTCCTAAGAGGTTGTGGATTCTAGATTCTATCTTCTCTGCTAATGTCCATCCTCTTGGCCATAAGAATACTAGGAATACTGACTTTCTCCAGGCCCTTTATGCTATTCAGTTTGAGCACTGGTATTCGTTCCCTAGGATTTTTATCAGCTACTGGCGTATTGGTCTGAGATTGGACCGCATAAAGATATTCCTACACATGCGCTGCCTTTTCCATATATGATTACCAGGATATTAGAGCTGTAGGGTTTTGTGGTGAGTACAAAAGAGGAATCATGTGATGAATCTCCACAATTTGGAATAAGGGAAAGAAATAAAGTTTGGTCACATATGTCAGCACATCAGAGAGATGCAATAGAGTTTAGTGATGAGGGATATGTAGCGGTTGTTGATAGGAGAGCTAATGATGAGGCTACAAAGGAGGAGATGGATTTTTCTTATAGCCAGCCTCAGGTTAGGAAGAGACCCGCTCCTGCAGCCTAGCCTAAGAGTTCTTCTCAGGCTGAGATTAGAGCTTTACAGTCCAAGGTGGCCGAGCTGTATGATGGTCAGACAGTGCTGCATCAAATGTTGACTGTGCAGCAGAGCATATTAGAGGAGTTACTTCATCACACTCCGTACGATCCATCCACTTCTTCTGTGCCACCACCACCACCTATGGATTATTTCTTAGGACTTTTCTATATATATTTTTTTTTTTTTGACTAGGGCAGTCTTTTTGCTATATTTATTTCCATATGATGTATATCTGCCCTAAGTCTTTTTTTAAAAGCATTGTACTGATTTCTGATATTTATACATGTTTTTTGGTTCTATTATCCTTGTGTTTATATTTCTCTATACTTACTCCATATACTTAATACTCTGATGTCTGTTGGAGTTTATTGATTTTAGTGGATACAACATGTTAAGTTTGGGAGTGCTTTTGAGAGGAACCACTATGTTGAAGGAATCGATGATGGACACTCATTTTTACCCTTCCGTGCATTACATTGTTATATCGTTGCTGGTATGCTTATATGGTAATATCTTTCTCACTCTCTTTTGTTCTAACACATTGAGGACAATGTGCACAATAAGTTTGGGGGGTAAGGTTGGTTTGGAAAATTTTATTAATCTGCTTACACAAGGATGTGATTTGCTATTTGTTGATATAAGCATGTGTTTGAGTCTGTTGATGATTATATACTCCGTTTGCAGTCTGAAGTTGGTTAGAAATGGTTTGTATGCTAAATTACTGTGAAAAGGCGTCCTTGAAAATTTTTAAAATCAGTTGATGGCCTGTGCTTCACTTTGTTAGGATAATTGTTGTTTAATGATGCTGATCTCTGAGATGCTACACTTTGCACAATATTCGCACTTGCATGAAGTCTGTAGGGTAGAAATTGGAAGTCTTGTTTTGTTTTTAGTTAGACTGAGATGATCAAGTCGATTTGATTGTTTTGATGACCGAGGCATAAAAGAAAAGAAAAGAAATAGAGAAAATTTGATATGTATGCAACAAAGAAAAAAATCTTCACCAATGTGAATGAAAAATAATAAATAAAAAAAACATGATGAAAAGAAAGAAGAAAGAAAAGTAGAAAATGATCAAATTCAAGTTTATACTTAAATTGCTTGAATGATTAAGTCCTTAGGGGTGTGTTCTAACACCTAATACCCTAAGATCGTCAGGTCTGGGAGTCATTGGCTGAAAGCATGTTACATAAGGGGTTTAGGTTGCCTAGATTACTTGAACAATTAAGTCCTTAGGGTTGTTTTAACACTTAATGCCCTAAGACCATCTAGTCTGGGAGTCATTGGCTAAAATTTCCCTACAAGGGTAATTTAGAAACCTTAATAAACCTGGACATTGCATAAGTATCCTTTTTGAAAAAAAACATACCCAAACAAAAAATAATAATAATAAAAATACCTTGGGAGTCAGAATTTGAAGAGTTTCTTGTGAATTGAGGAATGACAAGGAATAAATGCAAGTATGGACAGTAAGCCACACGATGAATTGCAGGATCACTTTCAAAAAGCATTTTTAGAGATTAAAATTGTTGAGTAAATGATTGAACTGATATGTGGGGACTATGGTTGCTTAATTAAGATTGGAAGTTAAAAGTTTTTCTGATTACATGATTGGTATACTTACTGTATTTGACTGATTAATAAACTGGAAGGATGATATGATTGGAAACAGGCTTGAATAAGCTTATTGTGCATTTAAGGCACTAATTTGAGAAGTTTGTAGGTATCTTCACTGGAAACCCTTACGAGACTACAACTCGTCCACTAGGGGTAACCTAGAGGTTTAAAGGCTTGTTGCATAGGCTAAATGTAATCGTGATTCCCATGAAAGCGGCTTTTTAGTTCTGTATTGCTAAGGGACTAGCAATATGTAAGTTTGGGGGTGTGATGAGCGCTGAATATATGTATATTCGAGCCCCTAAGTACGTATATGTTAGGGCCTAAAGTGATACTTCTATCCATTATTAGACTAATTTATGTTTAATGTGTGTTTGTTGGTACTTTCCCAGATAAATGATTTAAACCGGGACTTTATGATGATATCAAAGATTACAGAGTCGTTGCCAGTCATTCAGAGCAAGCCGAGTGCTAAATTAGTGAAGTTTGAAGCAATTCAAGCCTTAGAGTTCGAGCCTAAGTGTTGAGGCTCGAGCATCACAACAAAGAAGAAAAGAAAAGTCAATAAGGCCCAAATGCTCTAGCATCAGTACCTGGATGCTCGATCGAGCCTTACTACAAGGTGCTCGAGCCTTACTTCAGGGTGCTCGAGCTTTAACTAAGGGTGCTCAAGCCTCGACCCTGAAGCTCGAGCATGAGGCGTCGGAAATAAAAAGAGTTGATTTAATGAAAAGGCTATGTTCCCAGGTCTCGTGCCTCACCTCCATGATCGAACACTATCCACAAAGGATCGAGCATCATCCACTGATACTCGAGCATTGAGCCCTTGATGCTTGAGCATGGTACCTAGTGCTCAAGCCCATGAAGCTTGGATTGAGCAATGTTAAAGGAGTTCAACCCCAAAAATATTCTAAGTGTTGAAGGAAAGACGCTTCGGAAAATAGTTGAAGAAAATTAGCTAAGTGTCAATATGATGATCGAGCACCATTTGCTAAAGCTCGAGCATCTGTCCAGAGAAGCTAGAGCATTGATCCTGATGCTCGAGCATGAGCCCTAAAGCTCGAGCATCCGTTACTAAAGCTCGAGCCTTGCATGACATGTCAGATTAAAAACTGCGGGATTACTCTCTTTATCAGCCGTATCTCATCCCAGTTGGGCCAAAAGACCTAAAAACCCACCAAATACATATTTTCTTATATAAAAGAAGGCGTAAGCCTTGATAGAAGAGGTCCAAAATTTCAATCTCTTTTATAGTGTTATTCAGAAGGCTGAAGATGTAGTGGCTTTTAGGGTTCCTACAACCTTAAGAGTGAAGATCCTGAGGAAAGAAGCGTAGTCCGTGACGATGGAGATGAACTCAACACAGATGCTATCCAGTCTCGTCATGAGTAGCTAAATCCTTTCTTAGGGCACTGATGTAACCCAACGTTATATTATGGTTTGATTGTTTTGACTCTGGGTTTATTTTAATATCTAATGTTTTCTCGATCATATGACTATGAACACTTGAGACAACTCAAGTGATTTTTCATACTTTAGTAAAAATATAAATTGTTATTACCTTATCTTAGATATAATAATTTATGTTCTATTCTCAACCTACCTTGTTGTACAGTATCTGGTGGAGCCCTGCCGGACATAAGAATAAAGGTCATATAATGGTGTTCCAACATATTTTATAAAAGAATGTTTTCATAATCTATGCTTAGGAAAGGTAGTTCATTCGCAAAGTAGTTAAAGTAGGTAGAGTAGGTAGGCGAGTAGTCTGCACTAACCGCAGATAGGTTATAGTTAGATAATTTTGTAAAACATCTTTATTTAAACTCCGAACTGAACAAATGTTATTAAGTTCAGTTCATTTGAAAATATAATTGGTTAAAGTCCCAAAGTTAATTCAATTGACCATAATATAATGATTATGGTGAAGTCAAAGCCCTAAGATTTTCCCTCTCTGATCATTCACTTTAGTTTAATTTGCTTTAATTTAATATTTTTTTTGATTCAAGTGTGTTAAATCGTGACAACCAATAAACTCTCCAACCCTGTTATTCATAAACCATGAAATTAATTTAAAGGCTAATACAAATCTCATCTCCTTGTGGGTTCGACATCCTCTTTGCATAGAGCTATATCCTACATGATATCATACGATTGCAAGAGACACATCAGTTACTTGATTAATTAGCTATTTGTCTAGGTGTTATTTGTGTTATTTGTTTAATTAAATTATGTGCTTAAATGATGTGTTTGATTAATTGTAATTTATTGTAATTTAAATGATTAAATGTTTATTTTATTTTATTTTATTTTATTTTATGGTTAGTAATAATAGGCCAACCAATTAGGTCACATGGACTACTTGGATAGGAGGTTTAATGGGTACGGATAATTACCCATAGATAGTTGTATATGTATATATATAGATATATATGTATATACATATATATATAAGGAAAGTAATTTATTAATTAATATTATGGTAACATTAGTATTAATAAATAATCTGATGTATATATTTTATATATTTATATAATAATGATATACATAGATTATATACGTAACATATTTTAAGTTACCTTGGATAGTTGTATATGTATATATATAGATATATATATATGTATACACACACACACATATATATATATAAGGAAAATAATTTATTAATTAATATTATGGTAACATTAGTATTTATAAATAATCTGATGTATATATTTTATATATTTATATAATAAGGATATACATAGATTATGTATATAACATATTTTAAGTTACGTTTTTAATATTTTAATTTTATTATTTTCTTTATTAAGTTGACTTGGATTGGGAAAATGACTAGGGTTATTTTAGTTGTCTATAAATATGTAACTATAGGGTTGTAAAAGGGTTGGAGAATAAATCACGTAATACATTTTTTAAGAGAGGGAGAGAGTAAGAGAGAGAAGGAGGAAGAGGAAGGAAGCAGGAAAAGAAGAACCATTAGAGAAGAAAATCAGAGAAGAATGAGTTTGAGGTTTTTGATCCGAAAACCTTAACAGGCAATTTCTTCTTCTATCTCTTTCCCTTTGATTTGTGTTTCTATACATGCCTAGGAAATTCAGGATGCTTAAACACTTAGAATTGAATAATTATGCATGCTTGAATTGGTTTAGAACAGAGGGTTCTATGTGTTTACAAATATGTTCTTGATTTGTAATCTTGAATTTTTTATGCATAATTGATGTTTAAGTTTAATCTTTACATTTTAAAATATCTAAAACAAATTAATATGGACTTATGGAATTAGATTGATGCCTTAGAACCCTTAAGAAAATAGGTGTACAGTTAGACTTTTGGGCAGATTCCCGTAACAATGATTGATCCATTGTTACAGTGCGCGAGCCTTGGGTGCAAAACTCGAGCCATAGGTGAAAAGCTCGATCTTTGGAGTTAAAGCTGAGCCTTGGAGTTAAAGCTCGAGCTATTGATGCAAAGCTCGAGTTATTGATGGAAAGCTCGAGCCATGGATAGAAAGCTCGAGTTATCAGGATAAAAGCTCGAGCCTTACCTGGGGAATTTACGTAAATAGCATTTAAATTGACCTTAATTGATTTTGATGGGTTTCGAACATTAAATAGGGGTTAGTTATAAGTTTAAATAGACTTGATCATAACGATGCATGCTATTTGGATTATTTAAAGAATTGATGAATTTAATCTTGTTATTTATTTTAACAACTGAGATTAAATGTTTAGCATGAGATGTGTCTGGAGAATGCTTACTTGGCTGTAAAACAAATTATCAGCATGGATAAGATTCAGTTTATGTGAGATACATGATGTAGGAAGCTTAAATAAATTATAAATTATTCCTATGATGTGATAACATGATATTATGTTATTTTGCTTATTTTTGAATTAATTGACTGTTACATCAATTATTAGATTGTGTAGATGTAATGCACCAATACGGGATGGTGGCATTCTAGGGACAGATTAATTAGAAAGTTAAGTCCTACCTATTTCTATTATTTTAGGGACGGATTAACTAAAGAATTAAGTCCTACCTACTTGTGTTTATTAGGGACGAATTAACTAGTAAGTTAAGTCCTACCTATTTTATTTTATGCTTTGGATGGGACGGATTATATATATATATATATATATATATATATATATAGTTATATGTCATGATATGAGCTTGAGTCTCAGAATCATGGTTAAGGTGTGTATATTGCCTAGGATGGATAACTGGATATAGTAGACATCTGTGTGCCCTGATAGGGCTAGGTACTCATGCCTACTTTATGTGTGATTTGCATGTTGCCTATTATTTAGGTTGAGGCGGACCTATAGCCTTATGAGCATCCTGTAGTATGTATTTATATATATACGGACTACTAGATATTATTAGATTGACTAGGATGTATACGTGTATCAGATCTCTAAAAAGGACTGTAGTAGAGTACAACTTGTTTGTGGGCCTGACCCACCATTATTTTTTAGGCATTCGTCAAGAGTAGAGATTGTTCGTGCTAAGTAGGGATCAGTCTACTTCACTCTTCCGGATTACCTACATAGGAGTTTCCTTTATGATTTAGTATTTAGTTATAGACAGTTGATTATATTGGTTTGGGATTTTCTAGGGATCCACACAGTATGGATTCCCGAGTTATACTGGAAGATTGATTGTATCAGAATATTTTATTATTTAATGAAAATTTATTCTAAGAATTTTAAATATTGGATTATCATTTTAGTTTTATTTCAGCATTTTATCTCTTCTTATTTATCCTTTTGCATTCTGCGTTCATTTATTGCCGATTTGTTTTTGATATCTCCAGGCATTCGGGCGTGGGCCTGGCCAACCTGTATTCGGAAATTCGGGGGTATCACACTTGATAGCAAGAGATATTTATATATGTATGTGATGATGATCAATATATGAATATAAATAGTAATCATAAATAGTTCATAGTCAGTAATTATGGATATATTCATTATTAACTAGGACTTGAACTGGATCCGCGTTAGGTTAAGATATATCTGCGTTAGGGGTCAAAGTGCAACATTGACTTAGAGGTTATTTATTATTTAATTAGAATTCAATTAATTTCTTTTAGTGGAGTAGAAATTAATTTATGAATTAATTGAATTGAGTCAATAGACGAGGCCAATTACTA